GCCTCTCCGTGCCGACGTCTCTCTGAGCTGCGTGACTTGCCTGACTTGGGTTTCTCTTCCTTCCACTAGTGCTGGTGGCATGTGAGCGCCTCGTCTGCCAAGAAGCCAACGCGCCGTTTGAAGAGCTTTCCAGGGACACGGGTTTCATTCCTGTCTGTAACGACCCTTCAGCGTGAGTGGATGCCTCTGGAATTAAACTCGTTCCAGGCGTCATGCAGGGATCTGCCGTAGTGCCTGTGCCCTCACGGAAAGAACAATAATAGCTCCAGATACTGTCCTGCAAGTGCCAACTCCCTCGATCTCCTCCAATGCCGGCTCAGGGATGGACTCCACCTTGTCCCCGTGAAGAGGCTCTGCATGCCCTCGGCAGCCACAAGGGGGTTCTGCTGCCAGCTCCCTCACAAGCTGCCCCACTGCAGGACTTGCTCAGCGGCGCCTTAGGAGGACGTCGCCTCTCGCAGTTGTGTCGCTGCGGTGCCCTTGGGACCTGTGTGCGTGGTCCCTGTGCTTTGAGCTCCTCAGCCCGCGCTCTCTGAACTCCCCCCGCTCCTCGCAGACCGTTTGCCTGTTTTCCCAACTTCTCTCCCTGCTCCTGTTTCATTCCCTCTCTCACAGAGCCCCAAAAGGGTGTGAACTTTGGAATGGGGTCTGTGAGCCGCCTGCGGACTCGGTGCATGTGTGAGACTGTTGCTGACTAACAGGAGGACTGGTCGGTCGCTGCGGGCAGCCCTTGTGTCTGGCTGCAGGGCTCCAGCCTTGCCTGGGCCCTTCACCATGTTCCTCCTGCTCCCCTTTGACAGCCTGGTTGTTAATCTCCTGGGGATTTCCATAACTGTCCTCTTCACTCTGCTCCTGGTTTTCATCATTGTGCCAGCAATTTTTGGAGTCTCCTTTGGCATCCGCAAGGTTTACATGAAAACTTTGTTAAAGATTTTCCAGGTAAGTCACATTTGCAGCATTTTCTGTGCTGTGCAGGGATCTGGTACACGAGGAGGAGAGGCTTTTACACCTCAGCAGAGCACTGCGGGTGGCTGAGGTTGGTTGGTGGTGACGTGCTGGTGCCAGATGAGCCATTTGGGTCATCTCAGCCCAATACAGTTTCTAAACCACTATTCACGGGCTGGTTTTTTCCCTGTAATTAATCCGTACATCTTCAAGTAAAGTGGCAGGGTAGTGTGGCCCATAAGCACGCAGTAGTACAGTGGGTGTGCTGAGAGGAGGAGTGTGCTTTGGTGGGTTAATGGCCCAGGCAAGGCAGTTCTGTATGGAAAGAAGCCAAAGGGGTGTAGGGTGTGATGGGGAGGGACAAGGCTGCTCCTCTCCAGGCCAAACTCATACTTAAAGCCTACAGCACCCTGGCAGCTCAGGCTAAAGGAAAAGGGGTGCCCTGTGCTTCATAGGGAGGTTTTTAGGCTCTTAAATGTGCAGTTCAAGCTGCTAAAGAATTCATGGTACAGCTTCTTCCCCAGGAGTATCCCTGTACTGGGAAGGCAGCCCTGGAGCTTGCAATGTTCAGCTCTTTAAACTCTGAGTCCTCCCAATAGCCTGAGGTGTGAATGGGGGGACCTTGGGCTTGGCAGGGTGCTTTGCTAACACAGATGCCTCCAGTCCTGCCTTCAAATGTAGTGACTGAACCAGGAGCAAAACTGAGTAACAAGTTTGGTGTATCCGAAGTTCTGAAATGGAACATTTCACCATGCCTTGGTTTTGAGTTTTTATTTCCATTCAGGAATGTTTAATCTCCACCTATTTTGGTGTTTAATTTTGAAACTGGGTGGGTTTTTTTCTGAGAAGACTCTGAAGCCTGTTTCAACTTCTGTCAAAGAGTCTTTGATAGAAGTCTCTTCATCAGGGACTGTAGCGATAGGACAAGGGGTGATGGGTTCAAACTGAAACAGGGCAAGTTCAGGTTGGAGACAAGGAAGAAGCTCTTCCCTGTGAGGGTGCCGAGGTGCTGGAACAGAGAAGCTGTGGCTGCCCCATGCCTGGCAGTGTTCAAGGCCAGGTTGGACACAGGGGCTTGGAGCAACCTGCTCTAGTGGAAGGTGTCCCTGGATGGAACTGGAGGAGCTTTCAGGTCCCTCCCAACCCAAACCAGGCTGGGGTTCCATGGTTCTTTGTGGTGGGAGGGAGCAGCAACGTGGCACAGCAGCTCTCAGAGCTGGTGGAAGATACTCACTGGGTTTGCTAAGTCACAACTGTGGCTTTGGGGAGTGTGTTATTTACCTGAAAGACTCTCCCAGCTCTAGAGGCCGGTGTGAACCGAGCCCAGAGGGGCTGCACTGGAGCCTGGCAGCCTGTGGGACACAGGACTCCGGAGCTGCAGGGCCTGGGGTGGTGCCTGGTGCTTCCCTGGTGGCTTCTCCAGCTCCTCTTCTGGCTTCTCCCAGGCTGGCAGCATCCAGACAACCTCCTGCAATCCTGCAGTTCCTCCTGCTGGCAGAGGAGGCTGCTGGAAGGGCCGGACATGCCATATGCAATTAGCATTCCCACATGCTGCCTCCTCATCTAACCCTGGCATGGGCTCCGCCTGGGATGCCAGGAGTTCCCAGTGGCTTCCCCTTCACAGATCCCTGATGGAGCAGCTAGCCTGGAGCCATAAGCATGTTGTACACAAGTCCTCCTTTAGAAGCTTGTTCTCCCAGGCCTGTGTAATGCCAAGAAGAGTGTGAGGCTGAGACGGTGACCTGGAGGGCAGGCAGGAAGACTGGCCAGAAATCCAGCCTGCAGGTGCCCTTGAGAATGAGCTGAGTTTTCTATGGATAAGGGATTATCCACATAAGGGGCACGGGATTTGGCAGCAAGCTGTCCGAGTCCTGGCTGCTGAGCTGAGGAACAGCAGCAGCTGGTGGCTGAATCAGGATGGAAGGATCCCATCCCATCATCACCCTGAAAACAGCCTCTGCTTTGAGTGTGGAAGAAACGAGGGCAAAAGGTAGCACCAGTTGCATGCTCAGCTGCTTTAGCCCCATCTTCTCCCCTTACCCATGGTCTTCCCTGGAAGTGGACTGTAAAACCAGGTTGGTATGAATTGGAGCTACAGGCCTGCTGGATCTTACTTGTTGTGTGTCTCTTGCAGTGGGCAACGCTGAGAATAGAGCGTGGTGCCAAGGAGAAGAACCATCCGTTATACAAGCCCTATGTCAATGGTAAGGTCCTGCTCTCCATGGCTACACGTGGGCTAAACGTGGTGTCCCTGGGCTGCTGAGGAATTCTGGGAAGCCTTTTCCATGTTAGATGGCTTGGAGGGAGCTACGGAGAGGTCCATTTCTTGAGGAAGGGGCAGGAAGGACCCAGGGAGTGCTCCATAGTTTGATAGTTGGGAGGACTGGAAAAAGGAAGGGGCCCTTTGGAGGGTCTTTGGGCACGTTGTTCAGAGCTGCCTGTGCCGTGTCGCAGGTATCATTGCAAAGGAGCCAACATCACTGGAAGAGGAGATCAAGGAGATCCGCCGGAGCGGCAGCGGCAAATCCCTGGATACCCCTGAGTTTGAGCTGTCAGATATCTTCTACTTCTGCCGCAAAGGCATCGAGACCATCATGGATGATGAAGTGACCAAAAGGTTCTCCGCTGAAGAGCTGGAGTCCTGGAATCTGCTCAGCAGGACCAACTACAACTTCCAGTACATCAGCCTGCGCCTCACTGTGCTCTGGGGACTGGGTGTGCTGATCCGCTACTGCTTCCTTCTGCCCCTCAGGTGAGTGCTGCTGCAGGACCCTGCCTGCTGGGATGGTGCTGGTGGCCTGGCCCCAAGTGCAGCAGGTCCCCGAGCCCCATGGCCCCTGTTCGACATGACCAGGAGACAGGCTGCTGGATGAGCAGTGCCTGTGCCCTTGTGCTAGTGTGTAGCTTCCCTCTTTCTGCAGGATAGCCCTGGCGTTCACTGGCATCAGCTTGTTGGTGACTGGTACTACAGTGGTGGGATATTTGCCAAATGGAAGGTGAGTTCACCTCGGAGGGAGGAGGGGATGGGAAGCCCTCTGTGCACTTTGAGACGGGATAATCCTGGATGGGATGTGTTTCTATGGGAGAGATGTGACGTCTCGGCTGGATCTCATGGCCTGGGGCTGGGTGGCACCATTACAGGGGAGGTTGCAGGATGGGGGGTGATGGTCTCTGTCCTGAATGCAGGTGTAAGGAGTTCCTGAGCAAGCATGTCCACCTGATGTGTTACCGGATCTGTGTGCGTGCCCTCACAGCCATCATCACCTACCACGACCGGTAAGGAGGCCCTGTGTGCTGCGGGGTCCTTTCCCACTGCCAGCTCCATGCCAAGCCTCACGCTTCCTCCCTCCCTCCCTCCCTCCTCACCTGCACCTTTATTTGCCTGTAGAGAAAACAGACCCCGAAACGGAGGCATCTGCGTGGCCAACCACACATCTCCCATCGACGTGATCATCCTGGCCAGCGACGGCTACTACGCCATGGTAAGCTCTGCACCCCAGCCCTGCCTGCACGGGCAGCAGCAAACACATTGCATGGGACAAGGAGGGGGCAGCAAGAGGCTTTGGAGCGTGCCTTTCCCTGCATCACACCGCAGGGTGCTCTCAGCCCCTGTGCTCGGATACCTTGTGGTGTGTGGCTTTCAGAGCACCAGGGGTTTCTGGGCACTGCTTTGCAAGTAGAGCTCTGGGCTTTGCTCTGCATGGAAGAGCAAAGCACTTCCCAGCTGGACCTCCTGCAGTGTGGGAAGCACTGGGGCTTGCTGCATCTGTCCTTCCATCAGAACCTGGGACTTCTCCTCTCAGTCTTCCCAGGGCAGGGGTAGAAAGATGAACCTCAGCTTGGCTGTGAAGCCGAGGAGCTGCCTTGGCTTTCACGTGTGCCCAGCTCTTGTAACTTGTGTCTTCTTGCCCCGTTCAGGTGGGTCAGATCCACGGGGGGCTCATGGGTGTGATACAGAGAGCCATGGTGAAGGCTTGTCCCCACGTCTGGTTTGAGCGCTCGGAGGTCAAGGATCGTCACCTCGTCGCAAAAAGGTGTGAGAGCTGCAACCTGGCGGGGGGCTGGAGGGTGGAAAAGGGGGGGCTGCCCCCTCCTCACCTCCTGGGTGCTGGGACACTGTGCTGCTGGCCCCACAGAGTCCCCAGTGACTGCAGGATAAGGCCTGTGCTGTGCAGTGGCTCTGTGCCCTGTGCTAATAGGTGCCACTCTCCTGTTTAGGCTCACAGAGCACGTCCAGGACAAGAGCAAGCTGCCTATCCTTATCTTCCCAGAAGGTGAGTTGTGGAGCAAGGCCAGACAAGCTCCTGGTGGAGAGGGCCGTCATCATCCCTGCTCCTTCCCTTCTAACGCAGCCAAGAGCCTGGAGACCCTTCACTGAGGCAAAGGGGGCATTTAGAGCTGACTGAGCCCAGAATGTGGAACTCAGATAAAGGATGTCCCAGTGACACATCCGTGCACAGACAGAGCAGGGCTTGGAATGTGTGTTAGGGGGTGGTTCCTGGGTGCCTGTGGCCGAGCCCTTGGGTACGTAGCTTAGACTTCTGAACCTCTTTGCCTCTTACAGGAACCTGCATCAACAACACGTCGGTGATGATGTTCAAAAAGGGGAGCTTTGAGATTGGAGCCACCGTTTACCCTGTAGCCATCAAGGTAAACACCCTCACACACACGCTGTGTGAGCACCAGGTCAACAGCCTGGTCCAGGGAAGGCCATGGGGAGGAGGTGGCCTGCTCTGGGAGGGCTTAGAGGGAACTTGGAGCCTCAGGAGGGTGCAGCCAGTGCCAGACTGTCAGGAGCTCTTGTACCTCTGCAGTATGACCCGCAGTTTGGAGATGCCTTTTGGAACAGCAGCAAGTACGGCATGGTGACCTACCTCCTGAGGATGATGACCAGCTGGGCCATCGTCTGCAGTGTCTGGTACTTGCCTCCAATGACCAGGCAGGTAAGTTTGGTGACGCTGGGCTCTCCGATGTGCTGCCTCTCTGGCTCTTTGCCCCTGCTGAAGCACTGTTCTCTGCCACAGCCTGAAGAGGACGCCGTCCAGTTTGCCAACCGAGTGAAGTCAGCCATTGCCAGGCAGGGGGGCCTCGTGGATCTGCTCTGGTGAGTCCAGGAAGGCGTTTCTCTTCCTGGTGCCAGGGTTCCTTGTTCCTGGGCCCTGGTATGTGCTTGCGGGCTGCAGAGCTAAGTTTGTGTCTCGCTCTGGGCAGAGCAGGCCTATGGAGAAATGGAGATACCTCTTGCCCGTGACCTCCAAAACTGCTCTTCTGTAGCAGGGACTAAAGCCTTTGCTTCTGCTCTGTGTGTGTGGGCACCATGGCTTCATTCTGCCCTTCCAGCTGGCACTGGGGTGCCCTGGTTCTGACTTGATGCTGCTCAGCAAAGAGCACTGAGCTCTTGCAGACACTGAGATGTTGGGTGCCTGGGAGGCGGAGGGACTTCAGTGGTTTCAGAGCAGCTCACGCTCCCGGCAGAGCACAGAGTGGGGCCAAGGTGCAGCTCCTGGCAGAGCAAGGTGTGAACGTGACTGCCCTTGGGGACGGTGGCTCTGCAGGGCCCCTGGCAGTGGAAGGTACAAACGTAGGTGTCAGCCCTGCTCTGAGCAGCCCCAGCTGAGGTTTCCCCTCACGATGTGGCGCTCTCTCCACAGGGATGGAGGACTGAAGAGGGAGAAGGTGAAAGACACATTCAAGGAGGAGCAGCAGAAGCTCTACAGCAAAATGATTGTGGGCAACCACGAAGACCGGAGCCGTTCCTGAGCCCTCTGCCCCCAGCACTGCTCCTGGGCTCCAGAGCCCTCTGCCTCCAGCATGAGCCAGGGCTCGTCTGAAGCAGCTCCGGATCTCTGGACTTTGGCTACTGCAGAGCTGCTTGGACTTGCTCCTTCGGCCTCTGGCTGTTCTCTCCCAGAGGCACTGTTATTACTGCCTAGAGCCTTCAGGCCCTGGGCAGCTCGTGGCAAAGATGCCTTCTTGTTACTGTTACGGTGAAGCCCCTTGCGGGGGCAATATTAAATGAAACACTTCTGGTGTCGTACGCTTCCATGTGGTGCGTGCAGGGCCAGGGGGAGCACTGCTGGGCGATGTGCATGGTGCCAGTCACAAAGCTCCCGTGGCCCAGAGCTGGGGACTGCGCTGGAATCAGCCGCCTTGTCAACCGCGGGGCTCTGCACGAGCCCGTGCCTCTCACCCTGCAGCAGAAGCTCCTTAGGAGCAGGACGTGGTCTCTGAGGCCATTTCCAGCTTTACTTCCAGAAGGAGAAACCTTTTCTTCTCTTTTTCCCTTTGGCCACCTCCTGCCATTGCCTGGCCCAGGCGTTTGCTGCTCCAGCATCTCAGTAGCAGCCTCTTTGCTGGGGTTCCTCAAGTGGTGGGGCAGGAGCCCCTCTTCCCCATGTCTCCTGAGGGAAACAGTGGGGTCTGATCTCGTTATGCACAAACATAATCTCAGCTTGCTGCAAGGAAACTGAAGTCTTGTGCTGGAGGTAGGTCCCCTTTTGTATATTACTCAGTACAACAACTTGCATTTGAGCATCCATCCAGGTACTTCCCAACTTTCCTTATGTTCCTACAAACTCTTGTTCCTACAAGCCCTTTCTGCTCTTAGAACTAAATGCTGTTTCACTGCTACCTGCAGAAGCCTGCTGGCATTTCGGAGAGCTCTAGAGAAAGCAGCATTGATGTGCCTCCTTTGTACCTCGTGTTGGCTGGGGAGGGCATCTGCTGCTCGGTGTAAGTGTCCTTACATTTGAATTCACTGACACACATTCAAGGGAGTTTAGTCCCTGCTTGGTTTTATTTGACTAAAACACCATTGTATCAAGAGACAGAGAAAGCAACAGGGAGTCCAGAAACTCCCCTCCCCAAGAGACACTGCACGTTTCCCCACTCACAGTGAGTGTAAAGCCACGTTTAATAGCCTCTGTTAACAGAGTTAAGATATTTCTATACTGAACTGATTCACTTTTGCTCCTTGCAGTGCTCAGAGTATGACTCTTTAACTACACCGGGCGATGCATTCCCTGCACAAACTAGTCAGTTCACAGCGCTCTGGTACACACCATCACCATCAGCATCCAGCTGAGCCTGGGATCTTTTCCTTTCCACCTAAGTCACCAAACCCAGAGCAGTGAAACCAAGCAGGAGATAGAACCATAGAATGGTTTGGGTTGGAAAGGACCTTAGGATCACGCAGTTCCACCCCCCTGCCATGGGTAGGGACGCCTCACACTAGGCCATGAGAACACCTATGGGTTGAAGTGTGCTGCTGATGCTCCCATACTCATTACTAACACTCTTGGTCGCACAGGTTGGGCCCCCTCATCAGTTTGTTTTGGCAGTAAGGGCCTATTCACCGGGGTTTGGGGTCACTTTGTTTTCACCCAGCTCCTACCACCAGCTCACCAGCCCTCGGTCCATGTCTGTTACCAGACGAGGCTGTTTGTTGTGCAACCCTCGGCTCCTTGTCAGTTGGGTTTTTGACCATCACCTTTCAGTTGCATAAGAAACGCTGGGTGTAGCGTGGTGGGAGTTAACCTGGAGCGTGTTACGTGTTTGTTACCCTCTAGTACTTGCCTGTACCATTTACCCACACATTTTAGGAGCTGTGTGTGCTCCAGTTCCTGCCTGAGCCATGTGCTTGCCCAAAGAGCTACCACTGACCTCCACAGCGGACCTGGCAGCCTCCGGCCGGGGGTGATGATCCAGCCTTTGCCCGACTGAGCTTTGCTGTGCTGGCCCCAGAGCTCTCCCTTTGCTTGTGCCCACGGACTGCTCCTCCTGACAGATCCATGGGGATGTGCTGGAGCATCTCCAGCCCTGCGGGTCCCGCTGTGCTGGGGACCATCGCCAGCAGGCACGCGGGGAGCCGGCTGGCCAGGTTAGGAGGCACACATCCATCTTGGCTCGGCCCCCTCCCCGTGCCCCCAGTCAATACGTCTCTCTCCGATGAGAAAGTTAATAAATTTAGCTCTAGATTAAAAGTATCGATCATTTCATTTGTAAGCGATAAATAA